TTTTAAAGTTGCTTATTTAGATCATGCCAACTTATAATTGGAAAGAGTTTGAGGAAAGAAAAGCAAATATGCTAGTGGAATTAAAACTTTATATTTTTGTACCCCATCTATCTATAATTATAAATTTCTGGAGGTCAGGCAAAGTGTCAACCTAAATACTAGTTTGGAGTAAACTATGCCACACAATATCTGGCTGGGAACTTTAATAAAGACCCTGATGATAACAGCAAAGATCAAAGGCATTCCTTAGTGCTGAGTTACCTCCACTCTTCGTATAATACACCTATCTAAGAAAATCTATCATATGCAGTCTTCACAACCTTCTTTTAAAGTGGTTGGAGGAAGGATAACATTGCTTGAGTTTTTGGGTTGGTTAAATAGAGGAATGGCTAAATTATGAATTTTACACAACTTACACTTAGTATGCAATATGATTTTCTCTTACAATATTTAATAAGAATTTAACTGCTATACTAAACAAGTCTATATTTATGTATTTTTGTGTGTGTGTGTTACTAGGGAGAGGGGGTTGAACTCAGGGAAACTCTACTACTGAGCTACATATCCAGTTCTTTTTATTTTATTTTGAGACAGGATCTTGCTAAGTAGCTCAGTTGGCCTCACACTTGCAAGCCTCCTGCCTTAGCCTCCCCAGTCACTGGGATTTCTGTGCTGGGCTAAAAATACTTTATTTTCAAACATCCAGCTTTATTCCCACCATTTTAATAATCTTTAGATATTTTATAATGTGTTAATATCTTCTAGAATCATTTCCATAATAATTATGGAAATGTTAGATATTTTTAAAAATTATCATAGTACTTGGTATCTGAGTGATTTCACACAGACACCTTTCTTCACCTTGACATCAAATTGCTTTTACTGAATACTAATTAATGCCATTTATTGGAATTGAGGGACATTATAAAGCTAATTTTTATGTCTATATTAAGAATAGTAGAGACTATAGTTCACCGCATCACAATTTTTTTTTTTTTAATGAGGACCCAAGAATTGTATTGTTGCTGAACAATTGCTCTGTTTTGTCTTATGGGGTCCATAAAGAATGTCCTCCAGCAGGATTTGCTTGCTTTTAGTTTATTTAGTTTTTGAACTGGCTACTAGAAAGCTACAAATTTTGTGGCCTGATTTAAGAAATAACTACATGCAAATTGTGTTACCTACATAGTCTTAGTACTATTTCTATTTTATGTTTCACATATATTCTTATATTCCCAATTTAATTAAGGAACACCCCCACTAAACACATATGTACATATACCCATATGTATGTATATATAGATATAGATGTGTGGTATGCATATCTTTATAAGCCACCTTAAATCAGTCTGGTACAAGGAGAGGTATAAAAAAGAGCATCTATGATAAAACAATAAATTTTCCTCCAAATGTATTAGTGTCATAAAATAAAAATGGAAGTAATTGTTTGGAAATTAATCTACTACCTTATTATAACTTCCTTAAAAGAATTATTCATAGTTATCATTACAGGGACTGCACATATTATAATTTAATACAAGGACTTGATGGAGACTATTAGATACTTAATAGATATGTTCTATTTAATAGTGGCAGAACAGAAATATATTACTTCAATTTTATAAGGAGTAATTTTATTGTATTTCTTCTTTTAAGAAACAGAAATAAAAACATATGATCCATAAACACATTCACAAAATCTTATTTTTTATTTTATCTTTTTTTTTTTTTTTTTTTTTTTTTTTTTTGCTATTCCCTAGTGCCAAGAGAACCCAAGATTCGTACACATGCTAGGCAAAGCTGTACCACTGAGTTACATCCTTGGCCCCTCTACCTTGAATATTTTTATAGCTTTGTTATAGAAACATAAGAAAGAGTAAAGATCTCTTCAAGACATGCTAGTAGGAGTTCTCCCTAATATAAAATGCAGCTGAAGTATTTCTACAGAGAGGCTAAGCCTGCACAATTGTATGAACTAAGCCAGTACATAATAAATACTGAATAAATACTTATGAATTGGCATTTTATATCTTAAGCACTTATTAGGGAATTCACAGTGTCATAAGGCACTATGCTGTTACTATTTGTGGTATCTTGCTTTTGCTTTTGTTTTGATACTGTAACACAGACATTCAATGACCACAAATAATATGTCTCCTGAAATTAATGTCTCCTTATTTGCATTTGCCACTTTCTATATTATGATAACTGTTTTACAGTAGATAGAATACACAGTTGGGAAATCATGTATTTTAAATGCAGGTTAAATACAAATATTAACCACAAATCTTGATCAGGGCATGGAGTGTCTTATTGCAATTAGGCTTTACTTAAAGAACAATTATTCTTTATAATGTCTGTCTTATCTTCTCTTATGTGTAATCTTCCAAGTTCTTTTCTAGAACTAGGGCAGACTCCAAGTACTTTGAAAGAGATCAAATGCCATGTTGTAGTATTGATTCTATTTGTGAGGCAACTTCAATTCAGTTCCTCTGTGAGCAATTTCTTGGGTATGTAGTGAGAGAACATACAAAGAAATAAGGCTCAGGCCCTGTCCCCAAGTAGCTTGAAATGCATATTTCAAAGTAATACTCCGGAGTGAATACATTGACCAGAGAAGAGGGGACTTTTCAGTTGGCCCTTAACTATGCATAAGACTTTTATGATGCAGGCAAAGAATAGAATCAGAGTGACTCCACATAGAAGACAGCAGAAGCAAAACTAAGAGCTTACTGGAAAGGGGAAATGCTAGGCCAAGGGAGGCAACTTGGGTTTAAAATAGTCCAAGCCATTTTTCATATCACTTCTAGAAAGACAGCTTACTATAATGGGGAATCAGTGACTGGGGAACCAGAAGAGAAGCTGGTCATCATCTAGCTATATGACAAGTTTTAGTGAGAACTGCCAGAGCAAATTCATCATCAAAAAGAGACTGCAGAAAGACTATATTATATTTAGGTATGAGTAAGACGAGAACATGAAAGATCATGATAGCTTCCCGACACAATTAGCATTGACTTGCAATCTATCACTTAAGCCAGCCTGCGAGAAACTGCAGCCTTGATACTTCTAAAGAACAGTAATTTATGACAGGTGAAAATGATAAGAAATTTCAGTTTCGGTCTACAGAAATGAAACTTTATTAACACATATGAGGTTTATTTGCTATAGTACCCTTTCCTCCCTCCCTTGCCTTTTTGTTCTTGCTGCTTTTCTTTTTTAGCAGTATTTTTAAAATTTGACACAGTAAGAAGTGTCAGTGTAGTGGTGGACGGATTGGCTTCTGGCAATATGAAGCTGACAAAATGTACCTCTCCTCTAACTGCTACATTCACCAGTCTTGCACTAGCTACAACTTCTTTTTCCCCAAACTAAAAAAATAAAATCATCATAAGAAAGCAATTTAATACCACTGAAAGTATTAGAATTCAATAATTTTATCTGAAGGTGAATTTAGGTGAGGAAGCGCAGTTGTTTCAGCAAGCACAAATAACGAAGGGACAAGTGTCTTGTTTATGTGCCGTGGGAGACTAATTACACAAGTGCTTGTTGATATGTTCAACAGCTATTTTTTTCATTTTTCTAATTTTTGAGCACACTTTGTAATCATATCTAATTTGGAGCAACTTAGTACTGAATTGCTTTCTGAGGGGAAAAAAAGTGATTAAGACACAGGATAAATTATGCCTCAATAATGGTAAGTAGGAAAAAAAGAAGTAGGGTGAATCTGTTTGAAAAGCAATACCATAAGATTCAGAAAGAAAATGATAATGTTTCTAATGACAAACATCTTGGTAATATGTTAATTGTCATTATTACTAACAAAGTAATTATAATCATTCTTGATATTTGTACAATAATTTTTTAAAACTTGGAAGCTTGAAGTACTAAAATACTTTATCATTTTTTACCTTCACATAGCTTGTCATGTTAAGAGGAGTTTGGAATTATAATCCTCAAATAACATAACAGATAGAATTGAGTCTGCTATTACAAGACTATATGATAAACAAGTTGATAGAAGGGCTCAGAAATACACTCTTTTAATTGTTTACTCAAAGTATTTTTTCTGGTTTCTCTGTTGTTTTTGTTCCATAATGTCCCTCTTGGCGCCTTCTAAACCACCAAAGACAGCATGTCACTTAAATCATTATGGGAGGTGGGGGTCAGGAAAGGACATAACAGTGGTATCTTAGACTCAATAATGATGTGAACTTCATCAAAAAGCATGTATAATTGTCCTTGGTCATTTTTTTCTTTTAAAGATATCTCTGTATCTCTGTCTCTGTCTCTCTCTCTCTCTCTCTCTCTCTCTCATTTAATTCAAAAGTCATTTTTTTTTTGTTAAAAAAATCTACCAAAACGAGGGCTGGGGATGTGGCTCAAGCGGTAGCGCACTCGCTTGGCATGCGTGTGGCCCGGGTTCGATCCTCAGCACCACATACAGACGAAGATGTTGTGTCTGCCAAATACTAAAATAAATATTAAAATTCTCTCTCTATCTCCCTCTCTCACTCTTTCTTAAAAAAATCTACTAAAATGAAAAAATACATAAATTAAAATCAAATTTTTTATTCCATATCTTACTGTTAATAATTTTATGTTTTCTTCTACATATTTTGCTGTATACACCTATATAGTTTTATTATTTATAAAGACTGGGATGTAGAATAACATAAGTTCTGCCATATTTTTCACTAAATGTACCATTGTCCTTTTATGTTAACACATGCAGATTTACCCTCATCAATTTAATGACCACACTGTTTACCTTTCTGTCTTGATTAAAAGTTATTATGGAACAAATTAAACTTGCTTATACTATACAATTCTACATAACAATCATGTATTTTTAGTAATTTTATCATATTTCCTACAAGCATAAATTCACACTCCTCATCTGGCATGCACTGACATTAGTGGAGAAGCACTTTCCTCCCTCTAATCCCTCCAAAATTTTGCTTACGTCTGTTATATGCATCTCCTTTCTTCTGCAACAGATGAACAGCAAGCATTCAGAGAAGAAGAGACAGGAATCAGTTTGGGAGCTTCTTAAGCACAATTGTGCAGAAAAGAATAAACTCCTTATGGAGAAGTATTTTTATATTACAGTAATTGCCATTCTAGGAACAGGTGTTTGGAGCCCCACTCAAGGGAGAACTGGAGCTGATAGAAGTAGAAGAGGGGAAGATGAAGTTTCCCTGGCTACAGCCCCATGGGACAATCACAGGAACAAGGGAGGTGATCAAGTAGAGTCCCTGGAGCCTACTGCTACCCCCCAGTGCCTTCAGCAGGGACAGAGTCCTACAGAGATGATGACACCATTAGCTTATGTGACAACGTTCACTATTCAATGTTCAGACACAGCCAGGATGTAATGACACCAGTATTATAATATCATCATTCCTGGTTTTATATCAGCAGATAAAGAGTTTGATGATAAACCAACTATTATAACCCAAGAATCTTCTTGATATCGGTAAGCAAAAATTATCTCTTGTGAAATGCTTTGTAGTTTGCAAGAAGTTTACACATTCATGAGCTCATTTTGAGGTCCCACTGTGTGTGTGTTTCTTTGTTTTATAATATTTTTACTTATAGATGGACACAATACCTTTACTTTATTCATTTATTTTATGTGGTGCTGAGGAATGAACCCAATGCCTCACATATGTGAGGCAAGCGCTCCACCACTGAACCACAACCCCCAGCCCCACCATGTTTTAAACATAATCCTGCGCCTTATAGGTGGAGAAACCTAGCTCAGAACTTAAATGATCTATCCAAGTCACAGAGTTGGTAATGGAAGGGCTGGACTTAACAGCCTTCTTTGTTCTGGTTCAACACCCAATACTCCTCCAGGAGAACAATATATTTCCCTTTAGTCCCCAGGAACCAGACAGGTAACAAACTTAAAAAAAAGAAAAAAAAAGCACATGCAAAACACCTCAGGAAATTTTAAAATAACACTATTATACCCAAACTCCTTAGTCAGCTCTGATTTATTATTTTTTCTCTGCTGTTGAGTTTGCTTACCAACTATTATAATCCAAGGGAACAGCAACTTCATCATTCACAAAAACAAATAAACCAGGTTACTCAACATGTTTCAATAACATGTTTCAGAGGCAGAATAAATGGGAGAGGCTTGGAGATAAATATTAACTCAAAAACTCAGGAGGTTTTGAAGAGGGCAATCTCTTATGTGTATCCTAAGAGTTTGGATTTTGAATTAAACAGAAAATTATAAGGAGAATGGAATTAGAAACTCTATCTAGAACTTGTGTGATTTGAACTGCAATGTATCTCACAGGCTATTTGTCATTCTAGAGTGCTAGAAATAGGCTTAAAAGACGTAGTTCCTATAGAATTTAGCTCCATAGCTTGTCCATAGCTAGTCCATAGCTAGCTTTACAAGTATTAGCTATCACATAACACTTTCTACAGGCCAGAAACTATCATAGACACCTCATATATACAGTACCTTCATCTAATTCTTATCATAATCCTATGAAGTAGGTACTGTTACTATGGTCTTCATTTTATGGAAGAAGAAACTGAGGCACAGAGAAGTCAAATTACTTGCATAGGGCCAGGCTGTCAGAGCCAAGACTGGCTTCAGCATCTGGGACCAGGGTTTGTTCTAAACCCTACACTGCCACCTGAATGTCCTTTATTCCTCAGATATATCTGTTCTGCCTAAGGAGTGTATGTGGGCTTCCTTGTACTGTCTGTAATCCATCATTTACTTTCTTCCTCAGGCCACCCGTGGCGAGGGCCAGGAAAGGACGGCGCGTGGAGCCCTGGGTTGTTGGCCTCATCACCTTTTTATCCCTGATTATCCTAGCAGTGTGCATTGGACTCACTGTTCATTATGTGAGATACAGTAAGTATGAGCTGCCCTAGAATCATGTGATTTACCCCAAGCATTTCCTCATGTACCTTCCTGTTTTGTTTTGCCTGGGGCTTGTTCATTCATTGCTGTGACTCATTTGCATAACCCAGACACATCTTTACCTGCTTCTTTGTCTTTCACTTCAATCCACGAGCCAAGGAGGGGTTTTCTTTCCCTCTTTGATATAGCAATACTTCCTGATGGGACTAGCATGCTAGTTTTCATATTAATTAATAAGTGATAATCAAGTCTTAAAGAGAAAAACTACAGGTTAGCTCTATTTACTGTCATAACTTGTTTGAGAAAAGTAACTTAAAATAATTTTTAACTGAAGTCTTGACATCCCTATAAATTAATTATACAATAAAGATAATCTTTATAGAGAAGTAGGCTATTCTGTACTAACAAATTGGAAAGATCCCCATAGCTGTATGATGTTGAATAAGTGCCTATTTCTTTTATTTAAAATCTTATCGTCAGCTATAGTGTGATTAAAGAAGACAGGATATGCTGAGGTTAATTTTAAGAGGTTCACTCTGCGGTTATCAGATATCTCACTGCCAGATGAACTGCTAGTTGCTATGTTATTAGAAAGGTCTCCAGGGTACTGTAGAACAATTCTTCCAGGGTCTAACAACCCTTCTGAAGTTTCCTTCTATCCTGTCTTGGGTTTTAATTAGTTGACTCAACTATGACCTCTTAGTTTAATATCTCCCTCTGTGATTAGATTATTCTTTGATATTCAAGGCCTTGAAATCATGAAAGTTAATCACTTGATTCTAATTTCATTGGGAATTTGTTAAAGGTGGTTTCCTATAAAGAAATAGAATGATACGTAATCTGGTCATCTTCCTCCATTACCCACACATGATCAATCTCATCTTCCAAAGCGAAGTAGACTAATTCTGGGCAGTTTAAGAAAAAAAATATTTAAAACTCTGCGTGTGTGTGTATGTGTGTGTGTGTATGTGTGTGTGTGTGTATGTGTGTGTGTGTGTGTGTGTGTATTAGAATTTGCCCAAATGCAAGTCTTTAAATTCAGGGTATTTTCATTTGAGAACAGAGATTTCTCTGGTAAATGCTTTTAATAAAAATGTATTACTGATTACAATTCTTTAGTTCTGTTATGAATTTATCAAGTCCCATTATGTCGTGAGGATTGTGACTTCTTCCCATGGATGCCTAAGACTGTGACTTATTCACTTTTATATTTCTAGAACTTCACAGAATTTCAGCACCTATTAGTTACTTTATAACTAATTTGAATATTGAGTGGTGAAAATGAATGAATCATATCTATGATTTTTTTTGGGGGGGGGCGGGGATTCTCTGACTTCACATGAAGTTCCTAGTAATGCCAGGGGCCTGATCACTTTCATGAGAGAAAATGTTATTTGCTACTTCTCCTTTGCCTATTCCCAAGCCAAGTTTTATAATATTGTATGTCTTATTCATATACATACTGTGAAGAACTGGCACTATTCTTCTAGTTACCAATTCCTGAATCCCATTGTTGAGATGAGCAGTTCGGAAATATGGAACACACAGCTTCCACAGCCCACACGGTACACCTGAATAAACAATGATTATTATGAGGTGTGTAACTGCCGTCTTTGTGCCCTGCCCTCTTGGTAGATATAAACTGACAACAAAGTAAATATAAGTGACCAAATAAAAAACATCTGTTGCAGAAATAGATATTGATAAAGGTAATCAGATTAGGAAAAGTATCATTTTGACCCTTACTTCACAAAGTTCAGGATATCTTAGATTTGTGTGTGTGGTCGGTGTCCAGGGCCTTAGGGTTTCCATTTCTGCACCTTTTTGATTTTTTTTTTTTGTGTGTGTCTGTGTGTGGTGCTGGGGATTGAACCCACAACCTTGTGCTTGTGAGAGCTATATCCCCAGCCCTACCTTCATGATTTGAATGTCAGATGGTGAATCTGTCAATGAGTGACATCCCTGAAAATTATTGAATCACAAACCTGTTAGAAGATTATCAACAAACTCAACATTTGTCCCGATTTTTCTTACTTTTCTGTTAATATTCCAAATCATACTTTTAAATAACTAGATAAACCATATAATTCTGAAAACTGTAAATATGTTTTAAAACTTACTGGCCTGTTTACAAAGCAAAGTAAAATATTTGTTATAGATAAGTTGTTCATGTGGCTGTGATTGAAGCATACAAAATTACTGATATTTGCTATGCAAATGACAATTTCAAAGGATTCAACCAAACAATTCAAAGAATCCAGGTCTAAGGATATAGATTAGGTCTAAGGATAAGGTCTATTAGCTTCTGCTCTGGAACCTTACTATTTAATGTGTAATTAAGTTCTAACTGCATTGGCATCACCTGGGAGCATGGTAAAAAATATAAAATCTGTGTCCAATGTTAGACCTAATGTGCCAGAATCCCCAGGTGGTCCATTTTTACATTATAGTTTGAGAAGCAACATTCTAGAACAATGAATGTAGTTACACAGAAAGTTATGGCTAACCATGAGACAGATGTAAAAAATGCAAATATAATAAAACACATACTATTTTCATTAAATTATAAACTTTATTTGAAATGTATATGTATATTGCCAGGGACCTGCCTACATTTCATGCCACACTGGCTGTTCAAAGTTATTCAGGGAGAGGGAAGAGAGGAAGGATAAGGAAGGGCAAAAACTCCCTCCTTCCTCATGTAGGTTGCTGGTGCTCAGGAGACCTTGAACTTGGATATCTCCAACCTCCCACCCTCATCCTTACATCTCCAGCTATTCTCCAGGCCTTGACAGAGTCTGACAAACAACTTCCTTCTCAAACCCACCAAATCCTTTGAATGGTCCTGGGATTCTTTTGAAATTTAACAAATTTACCAATAGTTTTTTGAATGAAAGTTACAATTAAAAACCCATAGTTTCCATGAAAGACAATGTTTTGTTGTTGTTGGTTTTTTTCCCACTTCAAGAAGCAGTATTGCAAAAAAAATCTGTGCTTTAGGAGCTAAGTTTCGGCTTGAAATTCAATTGTCTTTTCTGGCTGTGTCACATTGGGGTTGGGCAAATTATTTATATTTCTCAGACTGGAATCCTCTAAGTGTTGTTAATTCTGCTTCCCCATGAGGGTGTTATTGTAAATTAAATGTGATATATGAAGATGCCTGAGCCACTGGTTTGTGTGCTCTTCCTCTGGGGTTTAAATAAAGAGGAAAAGAATGGGAAAGAACCTAGAAGAGGAGAGAGACTGAAAGTGGATGAGGTACAGTCTCTTATAATGAGCATACACAACTGTCTTGCTCATTACTGTATTCCTGATGTTTAGAACAGTGTTTCTCACAGAAAAGCAGTTGGCATATATATTCATCAAACGAGTGGATGAGTTACTGAAGGCTCTGTGCTTGCTTCACGTTTAGGAGGGTAGAGAAAAAGCTATACCGCATTAACCCTTCAGTAGGTCAAAAGTGTGGGCTGCTTAAATTGGATTCAAAAATGGAGACAGTAGCTAAGATGACAAGACATCTGCAGGTGGTGGAGAAAATAAATGGAGGGACAAGGGTCCCAGGTGAAACTAAATATTGTCTTCGGAATGTTATGAAAGTTGGCAGTTCTAGCTCCCTAAAGTGAATCTCTAGCACTTTAATTCCTATCCTCATTTTGCCTTTTAGCTAAAAATAAATTTTCTCACACAGCGTCCAGAATTGATGTGTAGTTTACTGTAGTTTACTGGGGGTGGGGGGGTAGTCTACTTTTGGAATATAGAAAGGCATTCAATCTTGGGAAGCTTCTGAATCTATGCTTGTTTGTGTGCTCAGGTGGCCTATTCAGGAATGGAGAATACATGAGTAATCAGCCCATAAGGCCAATGTGGTATTGCTAAAATGCTCCAGGAACACCAGGTGTTCCTTACAGCTTTTGCACTCTAACTCATATGATGACAAATGTTCTCATCTTCTGAGATAAGCCCGGGGCAGGATGATGAAGAGGATGACCTGGGTTAGAGCATTCCTCCCTGTCTTAGTCTTTCTAGCAACCACCAAATGGGATAATAATGGTGTTTAACACACATCTGATAAAAAATTATGATGGACTTCTGTCTCTTTCTTTGTAGATCAAAGGAAGACCTACAATTACTATAGCATATTGCCATTCACCAGTGACAAACTGTATAATGAGTTTGGAAGAGAAGCTTCTAAAAATTTCACAGAAATGAGTCAAAGAATTGAATCAATGGTAAGCAATTTTTTTCCTCTACTTTTAGGACATTTGCTATCACTCTTTATTGTACATTTTAGTATCCTACCTTCTAAAATATCCATTCAATTGCTTCTTGCATACCTTTCAAAATGGTAAGAGGCAAAAACCCTCAGTTAGAAGAGTATGTCTTCAAAAGCTGAACCAAGTGAACATCAGCCATTCATGTGTCCTTCCTACTCACCGTTCCTTAATCAGCGTAATATTCTCCTTCAACAGAGTCCAGAAACTCTGGGACTGTGAAGGTGATTCAAATGCTTTGTTGCACTCTAGATTTCCTAAAGAAGAGACCTTGGGCAAAGATTGCCAAGATTGAAACTATTTGGCTGCATACATGAATAGCAGTTTATCTTTTAAAACTACCTAACCTTGAACTTGCTTTTGACACACAAATTTACAGGAAATCCACAAATACTGATCTCTGTCTGTAAGGTATCAACATTATTTTGAGGGCTTAATCAAATATTTAAGAAACTAGAAAATTTTGCAGAATGGGCTAAAAGAACAAAGACCTGAGTGATGAATTCTCATCACTATCAGATAACTTAAAGAATAATTTGGATTTTTCTTGATAGTCTGTGAGGTATGATGTGATGGAAAAAATATCCTGAATTAGGAATTGGGACATCTAATTCTAATACCATCTGTGAAGTGTCATTTGGAATATCACTTTATCTTTCTGGATAAACTTCTTTATATGAAAATTACAGTGTTAAATTACATAATTTCCAAATTGTCTTCCATTTCCAATATCCTGAATAAGAACAGAATGGAAGTGATCTGTATTAGTCTGTTTTCTTTGCTATAATGAAATACCCAAGACAAGTTACTTCATAAAGAAAAGAGGATTATTTTGGTTCACAATTCTGGAGGTGTAAAGTCCAGCTTTCTTGCTGATGGAGTCCTTAAGGTAGCCCAGGGTATCATGTAGCAAGAGATAGGGAGCATGCATGTGTATGTGAGTTTTCAGGCCCCCCCCTTGAAGTACTGGGGATTGAAGCTAGGGGTACTCTGCCACTGGACTATATTCCCAACCCTTTTTATTTTTTATTTCGAGACAGCAGCTCACTAAATTGCCCAGGCTGCTCTTGAATTTATGATCCTCCTATATCAGCCTTCCTGTGTATCTGGGATTACAGGCATACCTCGCTGTACCTTTTCTCTCTTCTTCTGTAGTCACCAGGATTCCATCATGGGGCTCCACTAAAATGACTTTATCTAATCCTAATTGCCTCCCGAATGCTCACTGCTAAATATCAGAGTGAGCTTGAATTTCCACTCCTGTAATGCTTCACAATGGGGATTAAATTTCAAATCAGGAAGACACTCAAATCATATCCAGATCACAGCTGGACCACACACTCTTCCTATCACTAGAAACTATAGCAGACTGGAAGCCAGAGCATTTGGACACCTTGCTGAGAAGGGGGTCAATCCTGGTTACATTCGCAAACAGTCAATTAGAGGAATGTATAAAGTTCTTCTCTAAGGCCAATTACAGATATAAAAGTAAATGGAACTTAAGAAGTCAAGAAAAGAAGTAACTATTTCCCTGTTCTCTGTGCCATTTGCCAAAATCCAGATCCAAATTGATATATAAATCTAAAGGAATATAGGCAGGACTCTAATATCTTCAAAACTAATAATAGCTTTGAAATTATTTGATAAATATAAGTAAATAAAATATTCACAGAACTTATTTGTACTGATTTGTCTCATAACTGTAGAAACTGCCCTATTTAGGATTCTATGAAATATAAGAAAGAATAAAAAGGCTCATTGTTCTGTCAATTAATCACCAGCTTGGAGCATCTGTATCTAGTAAATATACACACAATGGAAACAATAAACATTTGAATTATTTATCTGCATATAGTCCAAATTAAAAAAATTAAAGTTAAGTGTGGTGACATGAGCCTGTAATCTCCAGTGCCTTGGAAGACTGAAACAGGAACATCACAAATTCAAGGACACCTTAGCAAGTAAGCAAGACCCTGACTCAAAATAAATATTTTTTGGAAATGTAAAAAGGGCTAGGTATTTAGCTCAGTAGTAGAGCACCTGCTTAGCATGTGCAAGGCCCTGGGTTCAACCTCCAGTACTGCGATTAAAAAAAAAAAAAAGTCTCTAGAATTCTTATTTGTTTGTAGTTAATAACAAACATCGCCACAATAAATTCTTTCATCTTATTAAAATAAGCTTCTCAGATCACAGATGTGTGTGTGTGTTATACATTCTAGTTCACATGGGCCTTTTCCAGAGCATTTTAAATGCTTGAGCTGGTCTCACATTATGCCAGGATACTTGGCAACTTTTTCACTAGGTTGAAAAAGTTGACAGAATTATTTCATTTCCTTTGTAGACCTACAGCAGTTCTTATATCAGAGTATACATACTTTTACTTTTCATGAAAAAAAAGTCCATTTTTTATGATGTCTTTCTGAATACTACAGCAGATGTCACTTGTGACCTCACTGGTTCCCCACCTCCTATCATTCTCAAAGCAGAGTTCAGTTGAAATCTCTGGGATGAATACCAAGAAAGGTTCCTCAAGTTCAGGTCATTGCAAAATGTCAGTCACTGTCTTTCGTTTTACTTTTTTTTAAAAAATGTTCCCTAGAGCTTTGAATTAAGTTGTGGAATTTTAAAAAAATTATACTTGCTAACACATTTTAAATATTTTTTGAACAGGTCAAAAATGCATTTTATCAATCTCCATTAAGGGGAGAACTTATCAAGTCTCACATTATCAAGTTCAGGTATGCTGACTTCTGAATTTAATTTAAAGCTGAAACTGTTAGCTGGGTCTGCAATAAATATGTTTTAAAGTATTAATGGTATGATGTAATTGCATTTAGCAAACACTTTTTGGCACCTATTCTGTGTGAGTCATGGTTTATAATGCCCCTTACTCATTCTCTGTATCTAAAAGCTAGCATTTGCAAAATGCTTACAAAGGGACAGAGTTGTCATCCATGCCTCTGCTCCAAACTTGTTTTCTTGGAAACTAGCACAATTGGGAACCTAACACACATGCTTTGGTTTAACAGTAGTGTTCTATGTGAACAGTGTGGTAAATAAGATTTGTCTTCAGCTCTTGATCCTCTTCCTTATCAATTTTATTTATTTTCTTGTATTCTACCTCTGTATGCTTCAAGTAGTTAGCTAATCTACTATCAATAAAGTTCAGAACATAACATTTTAAACAATGTATTGCTATATGAGGACTTTAAATAATGTATTCTCTCAATACAAATTATTTGTAATTTTCAAAAAATAGAATAAGAACTATTTGCAGGGCTGGGGTTGTGGCTCAGTGGTAAAACACTTGCCTAGCACGTGCAAGGACCTGGGTTCAATCCTCAGCACTACATGAAAATAAATAAGATAAAGGTATTGTGTTCAACTACAACTAAAAAATAAATATTAAAAAATAGAACTATTTGTAGTATTATGCCAGCAACAAAACTCTAAGAGTTACTTCCTAGCTCACATCTCTCAGGTACTACTCTGACCACTTCTTCTTGAAAATCCTCTACTTTCTGGTGTTCAGATAGTATCTGTTGTTGGATCTGCCTCTACTTCTCTGATCCTTAAATTTTTACGGACTCAAAGAAACCTCATTCACCCACATGGCTGCATATACTGTTGGAATCCAAGTTTCTATCTCCATTCGGAACCACTTTCTCACTTAACTACTGCCTGTGCATGCACATTCAGTTTTAGAGATGTGGAGTTAAGATTCAAAAGCAACATATGAGCCTGAAAAATAGTCTGACCTGGGGAAGGAAAGGAATCTAAGCCAAAGATATAAATTTGCTTATTATAAATTCAAAATATTGGAAATCCTGTGTGTAAATTTGTTAGGAAAAACAGGAATGATGAAGAAAACTTGAAAGATACGATATTTATGGGAATGGAAGAAAAATGGGAAGAACCAGGAAAAAAGAAAAATTCTGAAAGAGGTTCCACTGGTACTAAAGATAAAAAGCTTCAAGAGGAGAATGGTGGACTTCAACAAATACTCCCGAGACAAAAAAATATACATGTTGAAAAGAATCTGCTGGAGGTGTCTATTAGGAAGACATTAGTGTTCCGATAGAAAAACAGTTCAGTGGAAATGAGGGCAAGAAGCAGACTTTTAAAAGTGTGCTGTGATAAAACAGGTGAGAGATAAACTGAATAACAGGCAGGAAGGATTTTGTTTGTTTGTTTGTTTTTCTTATCACCCAGCCAGAACAGTATTAGTTTAAGAAAAAGAAAGAATAGGGTTGGTGAGGCAGAAAGGGCTTATGAATCCTATATTCTTTCAGACTACAAAAGTAATATGAAATTATATAAAATCCAAACAGCACAGTATTTTAATAGAAAATGACAGCCTCTTGTCCAACAAGTCCACTCCCAGAAATAACACATGTTCAGCAATTTATTGCCAACATCATTCCAATGACTGTATATAAATCTTTTTATTCTTTAACTGACCATATAATATTTCACTCAAGTGTAGGACAGTGTTAATTTAGCCAATGCCCTATTTATGGACATTTGTTACTTATTTTTGTTTTAAAAACAAGGTTATAATGAATACATTTATACTCATAGTCTTGCACATGAATAGTATATTTGAATATTTAACTTCCAAAAGAGGCAAATGCTGTCATTTTAACATATTAAAAAATATATTAAACAAAAATGACTTCTAGAATAGGATTCTCATTTATACTTATATTCCCATTTGCAGTTTATGAAATTAAGAGTCGATGCAGTGTGTAGAGAGGAGTAAGATTCTTTGGAAACTGTGAAAAGGACAGGTCAGGTGGCTGGCAGAATTATCAAGAGGTGGTCACTTGTATAAGCAGTGTCAAGGTGAATTAGTTAATACACTCTTGAAAATATGGTCACATGAAGCCATACAGCATGGTGAAGCTTTCCAAAAGACTTAGGATTCAGAGTTGTGTAGGAGAGCCTGAGTTTGCTTAGGAAAGATGGACGGATTTAAGTCACAGGAATTAAATCTGAAAGCCAACAATACAGCTGATTTCATATTTACCACACATTCTATTTGGTAATTTTGAATGGTTGATGAGATACATGTCTTTTTATGTTAATAGATGTGTATTTAACTAGACCCTTTGGTCGTAAGGGATACCATGAGCATACTACCTTACCATCAGGGTGGCTGAAATAGGTTCTATACAAAATAAACAACAGAAATATAGAAAGAAATATTTATGGACTGCATTTGTGTATGTGTATGTGTGTGTGTATGTGTGTGTGTGTGTGTGTATGTGTATGTGTGTGTATGTGTTTCAACTGAATGATGAGGAAAGCTGGTTGTGATAGTATCATAAATCAATCACTCTCTCTTTCCCTCCCTCCCTCCGTCCGTCCCTCTCTTCCTTCTGTTATTTTCTTCCTTTCTTTATATTTTTGGTCCACAGTCAAGAGTCAGATGGAGTTTTGGCCCATATGCTGCTGATTTTTAGATTTCCCTCTACTGAGGATCCGGAAACCATAAATAATATTATTGAAAATGTTCTACACGAAAAGCTGCAAAATGTTGCAGGACCCCCTAATGTCGACCCTGAATCAGTTGAAATTAAAAGTAAGTTGATTTCTATTATTTTGTTTATTTGTTACATATAACAATTCCATGTTAGACTTGAGCACTCATTTTTAGGTTTTTTTTTTTTTTTTTTAGATGTCCTAAAAAAACATGGTAGGGTCTTGCTACCAACAGGATATTGCTTTTAAACTATATTAGTCCTAATAACATATTTTAATATTTTAAAAGCATGCTAAATGTATGGTTTCCATGAAAGCTGGTCCTTAAATCTTAGGCAGTTTCTTCTATATTGGGCCTTATACTTTGGTTATAGAGTCTGATTATAAATAGTGGCTTTGTATATCCCTTTTCTTTTTTCCTCTTTTATCCATTTTATGTTCTGGAGTAGTGTTTGGAAAGGTTCATGCCATCTATATATTTTCTTTCAAACGTTATTAATATACCATCTTATAGCTTCTTTCCTTAGACACTAACAATGAAAAATTATAACTCCATGCTTAATTTTGTTATATCTTACAATGAAGACTTTGAAACCTACTGTGCATTTTATGTTGATCAAACATTTTAATTTAGACTTCATATTTCAGGAACTCACTGGTCACGTGTGGTTTGTGGATATAGTAATGAACATGGTAGCACTTGAGACTAGAGAATAGGGAACAAGTAGAGAGAATGAATACAGAGTGCTAACATAAAAGCTGATAGATTTAAGTCACCCTAGTAGCTTAGAAAGGAGGCACAGCTGTAGTAGGATGAGCTACATAATTTGTGTGTTCCAGTGCAAAATAAAAATGCCAGGGCTTTTTTCAAAAAGCAAAAAAAGTGCTGTTAATATAATAAAATATAAGACTTTTCTTATAGCTATGGCCTCTCTCTTTATTTTTATAGTATTTTTTACTTACTAATAATTAATATTATTCTAAATGAAAAAAATAAATTTTTAAATTGCAAGTATGAATTTTACCCTTCATCTTTATATAATGTAATGCCAATTTTATTTTTTGGTAGAGGGGATTGAACCCAGGGGTAACTTCATTACTGACCTACATCCCAAGTCCTTTTAAATTTTTATTTTGAGGCAAAGTCTTGCTAAGTTGCTGAGGTTCTAAGTAAGTTGCCACCGCTGGCTTTGAATTTGCTTTCTCAGCCTCTAGAGAGGCTGGAGTTACAGGTGTGCACCACCGAGCCCTGTGCAATGTTGATTTTAAATGTAATTGTAAGCACATTTATACTCATAATCACATTTTAATTTAGACTTCATATTTTAGCATGTATGTAGAATCATCAGAATTATGAAGCTTTATTTCATATCTGTAGAGTCAAAAACCACAATGTATTTATAAACATAATATTTGGAAAAACTTGTGTCTATACCGAACACTTACTGACTGTTTTGTTATTATTCCCTGAACAGCACAGTATAACAATTATTCATGTAGTTTTTATATTAGGTATTGTAAATACCCTAGAGAAGATTTAAGTATATAAGAGGGTGTGTGTGTATTTTATATAAGAAACTTGAGCATCAGTGAATTTTGATACCTGCAGGGGTGACTTAGAAATAATTCCTTATAGATATAGAAGGAACTACATTTCATGATTCATTCATGCAAGTATATTCAGCCCTCCACATCTATAGGATTCATATCCATAGATTTAAACAACCTCATTAGGTTTGGAAATGCTTGGAATATCCTTTTAGGCTCCTGTTACTTTTGTGTGTGAGTCAATGGCTTTTGTGAAAATAATGATGTGAATAGAAAGGAAAATAAAAGAAAATCTGGAGTTCCTCTTCTCTTTAGTCCTTCCTCATCCATTAGCAAGCTGAAGGCAGGTTCCCAAGACTGTCAGTGTCCCAGTTCTTAGTGATATTCATGATACACTTATCTTGTATATAACTGCTTTGAGTCTTGCTGAACTCCCACCCATCATGGCCCCACCAGAGTTCTGATTTCATAGGGCATTGTGAATAATATACGCAAGTGGAGTTGCAAGAATCCATGGACACACAAATTGTGTGTATCTCCTCTGCCCACAATATGCTCCGTTATCCTGTTTGACTTCATTTTCAAATCACAGTTGCAGGAAAAATTAGTAAGAATTTCAGGTCAGCAACAGCAAAGCATTAAACCAAGAACCAAGCTGAGGGCGGGATATAGTGCAGCAGCACAAGTCACGCATCTCTGAGACCTGCCTCGTCAGCAGTAGCAATATACAAAGCCAGACAGAGATTTCCCTCAGAGGAGCTTGGGATGGAGAAGAACAGGTTATCTGAATGAGAGATCAGAGATGGCTCCCTTAATAATAACTGAGGCTAAATGGTCAATTTTTTCTTATATTCATCATTTTCTCTACATATAACTAAATGGAGAAAGTCAGAGAGAAGGATTTCTAGAATACAAATTTCCAAAAAAACAATAATAACCAAGACTAAAAGAAAAATGAATAGGTTAATATATTTGCATTTAGAATATCCCATCCTGCCATGTTCACAGAAAATAGTTTTGGTTATTGGAAATCTACTAAGTCAGGAAATGTGAAATTTAGAATATTATGTATTTGTTGTGATGTAGGACAGATGAGGCAGGACACCAAGGGATAGAAAGAAGCAGGTTCATTGGCTGAAGTCAGGCTCAAAAGGGGAGCTTTCTGCCTTCATCAAATTATTCCTCTGAACCCCAAGTTCAGAAAGTTTTAGAACTTTATACCCAGTGTTTAAGGGGAGGGACTCAGAAGCTCACAATCTGTACAAGTATACATAAAAGCAGCTTTTTCACTGTTCTGGGCATCCAATTCAGGCCAAAGGCACTCTCTGTGAAAATCAGTGTCTGGGAAAGGGAGAGTCCTCCTCCCCTCTCTTCCCACCAGCTGGCTCTGCAGGACCTGATCATAGTCCTTTGAGAGACAAAAGCCTCTGTAAAGGCTCCAGACCCAGGCTGCAGGCCTTGAGTCCCTTATCACACTCTGGCTCTACAAACATACCCTCCAACTGAAAACTCTGTTGTAGAAATTCTTGCTGATAGTCTAAGAACAATTATGCTAAACAGAATTTTTTGAGGGTCTTTGGAGAAGCTTAGTTATGGCAGGGTTCTTCTGGGTGGGGGACTCTGGCCTGCTTCAGTTGGTTGGGTTAGCATTTGCATAGGGTTAGGTCCTGACCGCTGAGAGGTCAACAAGGTATGAAGTCATTGGCTTGAATTGAATGACAATTTGAGGGCAGACTATCTTTCTAAAACTTCTGAAGAAAGAGACTTAGAAAAGGATAACATTCTTAAATGTGATTATGGGTAATTCATGAAGATGCCACTTGATGTATTATATAAGTGGACTATGCTTTTGAGTTTAGTAAAATAATTTGAAATAATGGTTAGTAAAACTGTTATTTCATTCAGGGACTCAGTACTATGGTTTAGATTTGTATTTTCCAAACAGGGGCTGTGAACTACCTGGATCTTATCTTCTGACACAAAAATTCATGTTTTAAGACTTCACCACAAAACTACTAAAACAGAATTACTGGGAAGAAAAACAGGAATCTATGTTATAAATATGCTCCCTATGTGATTGTTATCCAAAATAAAGTTTAAAACACACTGCTTGTCTTGCTTCTAATATCCAAAGCAAAAAACAAACAAACAAACAAATAAAACACTAACGATGCTGCTTTTATTATCACCCAGAGACACTATCTATAATGAAATTTATCAGCCTTTTAGTATTTGAAATGCTCAGAGGCACAGTGCAGTTCTGATGTGCTAACCTTCTTTTATTCACCATTTTTGTGTATTTCAGAAATCAACAAGACAGAAACAGACCACTATCTGAACAATTGTAAGTTTAATATATAAATAGTATATATAAATTTAAATTATTTAATATATAAATAATATAAATACATATAGCTATACAACTAGTTCAGAATGTTTGATCACATCACTTAATGTCAAAAATTAACATTCTTTAACCTTTACTCTCACTTTGTGTTGCTATTGTAGGGACAGAATAAAGTTTGACTGATTTGAGCACAGCTCAGACTGCTTTATCTTACCTCTCAGGGGCACAAAAGAATAGCAAAATTGGGATCACTCTGGAGAGGATTTATAGGTGCCTGTGGCCTGTGGCCATGTATAGTGGAAGTGAGTTCTGCAACTATTAAGGAAGAGGCAAAAAATGTTTGCTTATCAATGTTCTATTTGCAGATATCTATAATTTCCTCTCACAAAAATTTTCTAAAGATTATATAAAAGTGATCTGTATATTTTTCAGCTAGAGGCAGAGACTGATCGCCACTCTACTCTGAATAAAATTTCCTTGATATTATTAATTTTATAATATGGAAATTGCAGGCAATTTACAGGGTTGAGGTTTATTTTGATTAAATTACAGATAACCCAGACAATATCTTTACCCATATTTTTAAAATGCCTACTCTACTTCTAGTCCTTCCCTATAGAAGAGAACCCCACCATAATTCAGAGAAGATATTTACTAGTTACAAAATTAGCATGTACTATGTTTTTCTTCAAAAAATGAAAGGAAATGTGCTACTCACTAGCTCAGAATGTTGCTTAATTTCTAAAGTTAATTAAACATGGAGCCAAAATATAATTTTCTCATCTAAGTGGAATATATATTCTTGCCATCAATATTTTTTAGTAGCCTACTATGTGCTGGTACTGTTAAACATAGGGATACAAAATGGATAAGATAAAACCTCTGCCTAAAGCAGCTCACACTCTAATGGGTGTAGATAGATGCCTGAGCCTGATGCATGAGTACATGATTCTAAAATAACAGTATTCAACAATTTTGTTGCCCTAGATATCATGCCTTATTGTGACATTTTTACCCATATTTTGAAAATGCTGACTCATTCTATACAAGTTCATCTTTACATATGTTCCTTGGAGTCACTGCTGTCCCCTACCCCCAAATATGCAGAGTGCTGCTGACATCTATGATGTATAGGCCAGGGATCCTACTAAACATTCTGTGATGCACAGGACAGACACCCACAACAAAGAATTATATGGTTCAAAATGTCAATGGTTGAGAAACCCTGTAATAAACAATGTTGAGGAATAAAATATATAAAAACATAAGTACATGCATACACACATATAAATACATGATAAGCACACACATAGTGTGTCATTGTTGTTTTTGTTATTTTTAATTAAGGAAGCATCAAAGAAGTTATAACTAGTCCAGTTTGGAGGCATGGAAATTAATAATTATCTTAGGAGAGATTATGGCTAATTTAAATCTTACAAGATGAATAGGAGTTTATTAGAGTTTACAGAAAGATAAGAACATCAGAAAATATTTGATACCATCAGAACGCTAAGTACAAGAATTTGGGATGTAGTAATACAATTTGATGCTTAGAACAACTCTAATTAGTTCATTATCTCCTTTTGGCAGGCTGTGGGACACGAAGGAATAAATCTTCAACAGAAAGTCTCAGGATTGTTGGTGGGACAGAGGTAGAGGAGGGAGAATGGCCGTGGCAAGCCAGCCTACAGTGGGATGGGACCCATCGCTGTGGAGCAACTTTAATCAATAGTACATGGCTTGTGAGTGCTGCTCACTGCTTTCGAATGTAAGTCCTGAACACTGAAAATGATTGGGGGTGAACAAAGGGCATTGGGTTTTGCACTTTTTATTTGTGAAATACCTCATGAATTTTGAGAGAGATGAGTTTAGTATAAATTAAAAGAAAACATGTTCACCACAAAATGCTGTAAGAATATCACAAAATTTAGTTAAAGGTTTTATGGTCTATAAATTATTGTAGGTAAATTATCCATCAATAAATATATGATAGTTGGTCAAAGAAAGCAAGAACTTTAAAATCATCTATGTTCTTATGTATGTTTGTGGGCAGGGGACAGGAGGCATAGGAATACATTTAGTTTTCCTATTCTGTACAAGATTTCTCTTCAGATGTTCTTTGGAGTCATAAATGCCCCGGAACATCAAGAGGCCCAAGGATCTGAAGTGGGTGACTTGTTATATAACCTAGGAAATGTGCCATGTTGGTCTCCACATTATCTGACCCCTCAGTCTTATTCTCAGATTGGAAAAAGTTTATATCTGTAGACAGAAGCTATTATTTTAAAAAACAAGACTCATATTGAAACTTGCTGGTTAAATTATTAGATAGGTAGTATAGTAAACTGGAGTCTCTCATTTCTTTCTTTTCTCCCTAGGTATAAAGACCCATCCAGATGGACTGCTTCATTTGGAGTAACAATACAACCTCCAAAAATGAAAAAAGGCCTCCGGAGAATAATTGTCCATGAAAAATACAAATACCCGTCACATGAATATGATATTTCACTGGCAGAGCTTTCTAGTCCTGTTCCCTACACAAATGCAGTACATAGAATTTGTCTCCCTGATGCAACCCATGAGTTCCACCCAGGGGATGAGATGTTTGTGACAGGATTTGGAGTACTGCAAACTGATGGTGGGCATCTGAACTGAAGCTTAATTATGATTAACCTAATTTGGCTTTCAAAGGCATTTAAAGAGCAGCGTTTTTATGCCAAAAGTAGGTTCATCACTCATACAAACCTGGACTGAGCCAGACTCTGGCATTTCCAAGATGCATAAATCCTTTCTGCCTTAGGTTACTATTAATTGCCTCACTACTGCTACAGTAATGATGCCAGTAAGGTGTCTGAAAGATCAAGTATATCTCCTAGCCCTTAAGTGTTTTACTAGAGAATTAACCACTTAAGAGATTTGAGATCATAAATATACCCAATTGTGAAGATCAGAGAATCATAAAGACACTATATTCCCCAAATGAAATTTTTTTCTAATCATAACAATGGAGTGGTACCTAAATTTTCATTTAAACTAGTTTGGAAAAAATTCTGTTCCCAAATATTAGTGCATCTAATACATATATATCCTAAGATTCCATATTACCATCTTATCTAATAATTATGAAAAACTTTCTTTAGGTTTATCAAATCATTGTATATCTACAAATATGTTTTTCCCTTTAGGATACACTCAAAATCATCTTCGGCAAGTACAGGTCAATCTCATAGACTCAAAAATCTGCAATAAACCTCAGGTTTACAATGGTGTCATAACTTCTACAATGTTATGTGCTGGCTCCTTAAAAGGAAAAAGAGATGCATGTCAGGTAAGTGGTTTTACCTATTAGTATGCTGCATAATTATTTGTTCACCTTTTTTGAAATAGCCATGGATTTTCAGGAAGTTGCAAAGATATTGCAGAGGAGTCACATGCCTCCTTCACCCAGCTTTCCCCAATGGTTACATTTCACCTAACTAGAGTACAGCATAAAACTAAGGAAATCAACACTAGAACAAAGGGTGTGTCTATGTCTGTGGCATCGTGGCACATGTAGAGATTTGTCTAACAGTTAAGACAGGATCTATTTTATCAGCATAAAGATCCACCTTAAGAATAACTCTGCCTCCCCTAACATCTGGCAATTTTTAATTTATCCTGTATCTCTATAAATTTGTAATTTCCAAGAATGTTATGTAAATAAAATCATACGGTTACTTTTTCTGGATTTTCATTTTGATTTGTCTATTAATAATTTTGACTATCTGGAAAATTTTTAGTAGTTCTTCTAAATTATGTGTTTACATGTGTAGCTTATCACAATGTACTACTATTGACATCTAATTAGTTAAATGGAGTATAGAATAGAAAACATATTTTCCCCTTAAGTCTCTTTACCTTTCTCTAATTATAACATTAAATATTATTATGTATAAACATTAAAATTTCCTCTCTGTATTGAGAAACACATCAGAGAATATTTTGCTTCAATTACTAAAATATGAAAAACTCAAGAGGAGTTTTTTTCCTTTTCCCTGACTTGCTAAGAGTCCTGGCTTTTTAATTTTGTTTTTTGTTTGTTTGTTTGTTTTTGGTACTGGGGGTCAAACAAAAGAGCTCCTTATCACTGAGCTACATCCCAGACTTTTTCAATTTTTGAGAAAGGGTCTCACTGAATTGCCAAGGCTGACCCCAAACTTACAATCCTCCTGTTTTTCAGCCTCTGAGTCGCCCTTATTTTCTTTTTAATCACTCTGTTAAAAGCCCCCTTTAGCTATTATTTTATTATAGGTCTGCTATGACCAATTCTCTTAGATTTTCTTTCTTTGCAAGTCTTCATTTCCCCTTCATTTCTTAAGCACAATTTTTCCAGATACAGAATTTGGGATCAAATAATGAAAGATTCATTTGAAAATGCACTCAGTCTTAATTATTTGTGGATTCCATATTTGCAAATGCACCTACTCATTAAAATGTTTTAACCCAAACTCAATACTTAAGGCACTTTTATGATCATTCGTGAGTATGAATAGAGTAGTAAATATTTGAATACCCAATACGTGTGCTTCCACCGAAGTCAACAAAGGTGAAACTGTGCCTTTTTGTTTCATCTTTCATGAGGTGTCCTTTTCATGGTCTGTTCAGTGCCACATTTTTTATATTTGCACTTTTTTTCTGGTGATTTTGCTGTTTAAAGTAGCCTTGAAGTTTAGTACTAAAATGTAGTATATGAAGATTCTAATGTGCCATGTAGAGAAAATATAGATTTTAGGTAAGCTCTGTGTAGGCATGACTTACAGTACTATTGACTGTGCATTCAGTGTTAATGAATCAGCATTATATACAAATAAGGTATCTTTAAACAAAATGCATACAAAACATGGTTATGTATTGATCAGTGGACAAACATGTGACTATAAGTTCCTGGAAAACTAACTAGATTTCCTCTATTAGCAATGATCAATAGTCAATAATTCATAGGCTGTGATGACTTGATAGAATAAAACTACTATGAATAATGAGAATTACCTGTATTTTATTGTCTTTTTTATCTGCCATAGAATATTGTTCAGATATTATTCTACACCTGCTTTTCTCTTAATGATCTTTATCCTATTTGCTTCCAATTTTATTAGAACTACTACTGAAAATATCTTGTAATTCACATTTATGATCATCATTCAATTTTCTCAGTCTCCATTTATAGTAACTTCCTAAAAATTTTAGAATATATGCGTGTCCTTTCAGTTTCCTATAATTTTTATTATGAAAATTTTAAATGTACACAAAAATCAAAATAACAGGTTAATGAACCCTATGTACCCATCACTCATGGTCAAATTATTTCATCCATACCTACTCTAAAACAATCCTCTCACCTCCCAAAAATTCTAAATCTATTTTGAAGTAAATCACATATATCACACAATTACATCTAAAATGTCTTCTAGTCTAAAATGTCATTTTGATAATGGTGTTAAAATTGAATGTCCTTTCCAAAATTTTGCTAAGTAAAAAAGAAGAACCAAAGTTATCCTTGTGATTATAATATCCTATTTTCCTATGGCTGAAGAAAACAACATTCTATTTTTTTCTTTCATTTTTATGTCTAGTATTCACAATTTTCCCACTTGCCTGGTTCTGAATATTTATATAACTCAAAAATCATCAATATCTTTACTTGAGTCTGCTCTTCCTCATCTTAGTGGTGTTTGGCTACCCTTCTTTATTAAGGCATGATCCTTTAGGCTCATGATCCTGAAATATGCTGATTTCTTTCCTCTCCTATAGTTATAGGAGAGGAAAGAAATCAGCATATATCGTCTTTGGTTCCATCTTTTGGTCCATCTTTATTCCCTCTCTGTAAGCCTAACTATCCTCCAAGATTCAGGTCTCAGATTAAAATATATTTTTAAATCTTTTTTTTATTTGCACCCAAAGAAGTCATCTTTTCTTTGAACTCAGTGGCCCCTTTAGTGATTTCCAAATCCACATTGTCAGCATTTAACTGTTGTCCAAATTTAGTCTCACATTTCCACCTAGTCCAAAGCCATTTCCATTTACATGTTTTAAGTTGTTAGTATTAGGTGAAAATTTGTATGTGTGCCAGCTCAAATTCAAGAGACATCATACAACCAATTTTTCATTTTTAAGTTTCTCACTTTTTCATTATGGGTCACTAGTCTTAGAGTCTTCTTTTGCTCTTTTATGTTTAAGTTCTAGAATATTTTTCCACTTTATAATATAGTTTATTTCTTTCATCTCTCTTCCTTCTATTAACAATCTATTCTATTTCTTCATTATTTCACATCTCATCTCAATACTACAATTACCTCCTAGTTTAACTTTTTTTAAAAAAAAGTATTGTAATAGTTTTATTGCAGGGTAAGACTGTATCTGGCTATCTTTAAAATCAATGTTAATGAAATTATGATGTTCTTACAATAAAAGTACCTATTTTAAGTGTACAATCAGATCAGTTTTGATAAATGTATACTTATGTAACCAACTTTACAAGTGAGATATAGAATATTCACAACATTCTCAAAAGTTCTTCAGTACAACACTGACCCTGACAGTGGTTGACTTCTTTATAAGTTTTTGTTATAATATGTACCTTCCTTAATATACTCCCTATTCTGTTTCTTACTTAACTTTTTACTAAAAAATGACAGAATTTATAGGACAGATAAAGTTTGTGAGAAAAAAAGGACTAGAGATAGATCCTTCAAAGACTTTGCATTTTTGTAACTGGAGAATTAAAAAAAAACTAATAATTGATACCTTGAAAAGTAACTTGGACATTGTTGACAGACAGAATGACTAGGGGCTGATGGTTGAGCAGAGATGTTAAAAATATACAGAAACAATTCAGTGGAAATACTGGCTTACTGGTCCTGAGGCACTGAATATGGAACTGTAGCCCTAAGCACAGCAGGCTACTAGGACACAAGAACCACACTAATCTGGAGTGTATCTCTTTGGGTAAGGTACACTGGGTACACGTACTCTATATTTTCTTAAAAGAGAGCTCCTAAGGCTTATGTCTGTGTCTTAGCCAAGCTGAGAACTTTTTCCTTTTCTTCTGAACATTTTACTATTACTTTGATTATTCTAGCTCCTCTGTCTAAGGAGAAAACATAAACAATCACAACTATCATCTTATCTGAATATAACTCCTCTATTCCCTAGTCACATGTCAGCTAACTAGTGTTAATAGAACAGACTCTCTCTTTCTGTGATACAAGCAGAATTTACCTTATTCATCAGCTTGTAATATTTTTAAATACATAGCTCCTTTCTTTAAAATTACTCCATTTTCAGACCCCTTTATTCCTTTATTTTATTTATTTATTTATTTTTGGTACCAGGGATTGAACTCAGGGGCACTTGACCACTGAGCCACATCCCCAGCCCTATTTTGTATTTTATTTAGAGACAGGGTCTCACCAAGTTGCTTATCACCTCACTTTTGCTGAGACTGGTTTTAAAATCATGATCTTCCTGCCTCAGCCTCCTGAGCCACAGGGATTACAGTCATGTGCCACCACACCCGGCTTATTTCTATTTCTTAAACTGATTTTGTCTCTGGCATATTGTATTTCTTCCTCCCAATCTTTTCTGCCTGTATATAGGTTTTAGTTTCAATTATTAAAATTATTTATGTGTTTATTGAAACCAGGGACTGAACCCAGGGAGGCTTAACCACTGAGCCACATCCACAACCCTTTTTAAAATTTTTTATTTTGAGAAAGGATCTCCCCAAATTGTTTAGGGCCTTGTTAAGTTGCTGGGGTTGATTTTGAGCTCAAGATCCTCCTGAGCCACTAGAATTACAAGCATGTGCCACTGTGCCTTGCTAAAATTATGTATTTTTAAGTGGCTTTATGTGGTAATCTTAATTTCCAGAAGCATATTCCAGGATCCTTGAAGGCAAAGACCATGTGTTTATACTCTTTATATTTCCTACCACATATGAGGGTATCAGAAAATACTTATTGACTAATTGATTTAAAAATTGATTTAAAATTACAAACACACTAATTCAAATATTTTTATTATTTTAGCTATTATTAATGCTAGCATTTTTAAAGGATAAAAGGAAAGTCACAAGGAAGTTAGTATAACGTAGCGGGGAAGCATGTTAGATGAGTTAGATCACTGTGCTCCAGTTCAAGTTGAGAAATTTACATTTTTTACCTTTGATCTCAGCAAATACTAAATTTTTCTGTGCTTCATTTTCTTTATTGCTTAACTGAAGAAAATGGAAAGTAACTCTATGCTTTGTTGCAAGTATTACACAAAGTGATGAAATAATGATTAATTATTTAAGCGTTTCATACAGTCCTAACTTTATGAGTGGGCAATACCTGGAGGCCCAGGATCTTGAAAAATAATCAGCCAATACCTTGTTTTTATGACCTATGTAAAGAAACAGACTTCCTGGGTTTGTAAGATAGAATCAATTGGTATTTGTGGTTTTATATATGTGTTTCCTAAGTTCTTCTTTGTGCTGGGGCTAAATATTTTACATTCACTGCCTTACTTAATTTTCATAAATAATAAATAATAACAATGTAGTATAAATAATATTTTAATAAATAAATAATAAGTAAATCAGAGGTCTAAGCCAGCTTGGAAAGCCCAAATTTGCAATTGGAATTCAAGTATCTGACTAATATCTGCTCTCCTAATCAGTAATTAACTCTCTTCACCCTTTTGTGGGGAGTTAAGCCATTATGAATACATAGCCAACTTGTAGAGGGAGTTATTTTGTCAGATGTTAAAAGTACTATTCTTGAAAGATAGAAAATCTCAGTCTCAATGTACTGAATCTCCAGGTTAAGTCAATTTCCCAGGTATTGGGATTCTTCCTCTGTGTGAATACCTGACATAGATTGTCACCTCTATTAGAACACACTGAAGACCTTTGCAAATCGGCACTTTTGTACATTCTAAACTTAGAAAGATAATAAATTCCTCTGTAATGAACTGGGTTATGAAATGCTAATCTCTCTCTTTTCCTTTAGGGTGACTCTGGAGGACCATTGGTCAGTTCAGATGCTAGAGATATCTGGTACCTGGCTGGAATAGTAAGCTGGGGAGACGAATGTGGACAACCCAATAAACCTGGTGTTTATACTAGAGTCACTGCCTTCCGGGACTGGATTGCTTCCAAAACTGGTATCTAACAGAGAAAAGTCCAGTGGAATGAAATATAGTTTTTGTGTATAGACCATTCTTACAGAAATAGAATTATGGAAGCCTTACAAATCACCAGGATCTGATCTGTCTCACTGAACTGTTTGATGCATATATTTCCTTCCTACCTCTGCTCTACACCTGAGCATCTTGAATTCTACCACATGGACTCTGCTCAACCTGCATTCATTTGTTTTCTAGGTTTCTGTCATCAAAATTTTGATTTATTACTATAAATCCCTTGTGCATATACACAATTTGAAATAATCCTGTTCATTTCCTCAACTTCTCTCATTGCAAGAAATTCCCACTTTCATTGTATATGACAAGGAATGGAAGAAAATATAAAAAAGAAAAAAATTATGTATGCAAAAAAAGTTTTTTTTGTGGAATGTGGTAAATGTTCATATTCATTAAGGAAGATCAATCTAACAGAAACAGCAGACTATTCAACATTTAAAGATGGAGAAATAAAGGAAACTAAGTTAAAGAAATACAGAGAGAAACCAAAAGAGCTTTATTTTTATTTTTAAACAACCTCAAAGATAAAAATGAAAATGATCTTTTTTTTGTGACTACAGTAATTACACCAACTTTCTCTAATGTTCTGGACAAGTTAAAGTGAATCATAGTTATTTAATATTGCACTGTTGAAGGTTTCAAGACGATAATAGTGAAACAAGTGAATCACCTATTTGCTTGACAGTATAATATAATAATCCATGAAGAAATGGAAGATGGGGAACATATTATTAGTAAACTCACTGAAAATTCTTTAAAAATTTGAGACTAGAATGAAAATTTATTTGAGAACAACTGGCATACCTTATGTACTAAAATAATTATGTGGTTGAACAGGAGGTAATGAAGAAAGAATCTGTCTAAACTATTGACTGAAATGGCCTTGACTGAATGGGATCAATAAGTGCCTGCTTGTGCATCTAAAGCTTTCTCAAACAGCAAAACCTTGAAGGGAATAAGGCTTGGGCATTACTGTGTAGCTGTAGTCATGCACCTGAAGCTGGGGCTCAGGCCTCCACTTTGAGATGATTGCAAATATGCTTTCTCTGCTGTTGTTTCCAGTCTTGGTTTGACTAGTGGCCCTGCTAAACTCATCTGCACTGAGATGGGAGGATATGATAGGGAATACGTTCTGAAGTTGCCTTCCTCCTACATCTAATGCAGCACTGAATTCTAGTTGCCTAGATATAAGACTGAAGAGTAAAAGCCTAATGTTGGCCACCTTCACAGTAATAATTTTGGTAATTGTTTACTGAGTCTTTAAAGACACAACATTCAAATGATCTAGACCATATTGAAATTAGGACATGTGATTTGTTAATGATGAGATTGTGCTGAGTCTTTGGTTACCCTTTCCTCTATGTATACAGAACATGCATGTTCTGTATTATACAATAGCCACTTTGAAAAAGAATAGCAGCAGAAAATATTTGATTTTTATCAACCCAAATAACATTGTCATATAAAATGATAAAATTTGGGAACTTGTCTAAAATGAGATATGAAATAAGGTATGAAAGCTGACATAAGTGTTAAATATTTTGCATAAACTATCTTGTTCATATAATATTTTGGGGGAAATTTGAGGGAAATGATGACTATCATACAAAGATATAAATATATTTCAAACTAAATTACTTACAGTGGTCCCTTAAAAATTGATTCTCCAAGTATATTCTGAAGTTGGGCCACTAAGTGGCACACTCAAGCTATGAGAATATTAGTGTAAAAGGATATCTGGATTTAAGGCTGTCTGTACTTTCAAGTAATAATGAAAACCGTAGTCAAAATTCCATATAAGGGCCTTGCAAAAACAAATAATAGAACTCATCTTTGCAAGTGAATTTATGAATATCTCATTTAAATTGACATCATTATTAGTATTTTCTATATTTCTAGGGGTTAGATTCCAAACTAAAGTAAAATATATGATACATGATTTGAAAAACTCCCTCTGAAAACAAACTTGAAGGGGTTTAAATTAAAGAGAAAGTTTAGAAGTTTAATTTTATAAGTGAATTACATTCCTCAGAAAAATATTTTTGGTATTTACTTTTGCAAGAGATTTGAGAAATAGGGTTTTGGATCTCAGTGAAAATATGAGCAATAGTTCAAACTTCATGTGCATAGAGAAATAGATAATGCAGTACCATATTTTTAGAATAGTAGATTTGCCTTTTTGTGTAACATTGTGGTGAGGCTCCAGTAGCAGCCACTGCTCTCTGTACTTCACGATGCTTCCTAAGGACAAGAAAAAAAAAAAAAAAGATGAGGGAAAATTGGCCCCAAAAGACAGACCCAGTGACCAAATCTGGGGCTAAGCCAAAAAGAAGTGGTTCAAAGGCAAAGTCGGAACAAGCTCATCAACTAGTCTTTTTGACAAAGCTACTTCTGTCAAACTCGGTAAGGAAGGTCCCAAATGCCAGCTGTTGTCTCTGAGAGACTGAAGCCCTTCAGGAGCTCCTCAGTAAAGGACTTCTCAAACTGGTCTCAAAGCACAGAGCTCAAGAAATTTATACCAGAAATACCAAGGATGGAGATGCCCCAGCTGCTGGTGAAAATGCAATGAACAGGTCCAACCAATTGCACATTTGTATAAATAAAACTTTATTAAATCAATAAATAAAACAGTAGCTTTTTTTTCCAAAAGTAACTGATAGTGAGTTTTGGTATTCTTGACTATGTATTAACCATGGCTTTAGAGGTTAAGAAGTTGTGATTTTAATGTTTATTAATTGTACAAGAGTTTAGGAGAACAGTAGAATGAATTGGGCATAACTTTCCTATGTTCATATATGAATCCATGACCAGTGTAACTCCATATCACGTACAACTACAAGAATGGAAAGTTCTACTCCATGTGTGTATAATATGTCCAAATACATTCTACTGTCATGTATATCTAAAATGAGCAAATACAAAAATTTATAAAGAGAATCCAGGATGTTTCTCTTCAGTATCTTTTATCTCCTCCCATAGTACACACTAAAGTTTTCTCTGTATGATAATCTTTCAATTAATGTTGTTGAATGGATATTTTATTTTTGCATCATGCTTTATATTATAGTAATGTGCCACATAATAACATTTCAGTCAATGACAGATTACAATCTAAGACGATGCATTCATAAGATTATAATAGAATTTAAAAATTCCTATCATCTTGTTTTATTGCACCATTCACAATGTTGAAGTGCAATGCATTTGTGGTGATGCTGGTAAAAAAAAAAAAAAACCTACTCCACTGCCAGTTATATAGAAGTATAGCACATGCAACTACATCAGTACATAATGATAATAAGCAACTAAATTAATGGTTAATATATTTACTAAACTGTACTTTTAATTGCTATTTTAGAGTATAGTCCTTTTCCCTGTAAAAAATATTGTAAAACGTTATGACATGTTTTGCCAGCGGTCACCTTATCCACTTTGGGTCAAATGACTGATGTGTACCATCTAAGTTTGTGTAAGTATATGCTTTGATGTTTGTTCACTTACAAAACAGCCTAATGATGCATTTCCCAGATTATAATAAAATCTACAGCATACTTCCAATGTTGCCTCCTCCACGATTGATTCCCCAAATATGTAACTTCCTCCTTTATGAAATTCTTTACTATTTTAGGTGATTATTGAATAGATTTGCATTCAATTATAAGATACAATACAGAAAAATTCTTTTACTCGGTTTCTGGCAATGGTGGCAGCTTTCTTAACTATTGTACAATATCATAACCAGAAAGTTGACATGAAGACCAACTATCAATGTTATTCAGATTTCACCAGTTTTAAAAATATAACAATGTGTGTTTGCATGAGAATGTGCTTAGTTCTATGTAATTGTATCACCTATATAGATTTGTGTGATCATCCCTACAGTCAAGATGCTTGACCACAAGATTCTACCTATCTACTGCTACCTGGATCCCTCCCTGACCCTATCCCCTGACCAAGTCTTTGGCAAGCAATCATCTGATTTCCATCTGTATAATTTTACCATATCAAGTATACATAAATAGAACAATATAGTATATAACCTTTTCAGGTTGGCTTTTTCATTCAGCACAATTCCTTTGAGATCTATGCAAGTTTTTGTGTATAAATAGCTTATTTTTTTTGTTGCTGAGAAGTATTTCATGCTATGAATATTTGAGAGTTTGTTTAACCATTTACCCATTGAAGGACATTTCAGTTTTCAGTTTTGGTGCCATTACGAATAAAATTTCTTAGAACATTCATGTATAAGTTTTTGTATGAGCATAAATTTCACTCCTCTGGGATTAATGGCCTAGAGTTCAATTGCTAAGTTATATTATTAAGTATATGCTTAGTTTTTGCAAGAAACTGTCATATATTTTTCAGATAGTTCCTTATCACTTTTTATCTCTCTGTACATGTGTGGACAGAAGTGACTGTAATGACTGTACTATAAGCTCCATGTGGATAGGAACCATGAGTGATTCATTTTTATGTTCTTAATAGTACAAAAATACATTATTTATGACTGGTGTGCAATAAAGATTTATTAAGGGCTGTGTGTGTAGCTCAGCAGTAAAGGACTTATCTAGTGTGCACAAGGCCCTGGGTTTGATCCCCAGCAACACACACATCTCCTGGTTTTCTGACACGTGTATCATCTTCTGCACCGTAGAAGAAATTTCAATGTAGGTTTATATTCAATAAATATTTTGGTATTAATTGTTATAGCCACAACCCTGTCATTTGTATTAACATAATTTTTTCTTATACAACTCTCAAGGTGGAGTGAAAAACACCCTGAGAAATGCAAGCAGAAGATCTCCTTTAGTTAACACAGATTCATCAATAGTCTCCACTTTGGCATAGCTTTCTCTCTTAAACTTCATAGTCAATCTCTATGCTCACTGCTTTCCATGTACTTTTATTCCTTTGCTTCTCTCTTGCTTTGTCACACTCATTTTTTACCACACCCTGTTAAAATCCTGCTCTCCCTACTCTTTCCCTACA